CCCCAAAACCCCAAAACCCCAAAACCCCAAAACCCCATATTGGGTGGCGACATTTGAAATTAAAGAAAAATTTATTTTATTAATAATGTCTATGACTTCTAGCTTTGAAGTTGAAATGAACAATCTGAGCGGAGCTGCTCTAGATAATAAAGGTATGCCTTTGTGACTCAAATTCGGACAAGCTAACTTTTCATGTAGGCAAAGGTCTCTTAGACAAAGAAGTCCATAATGGTGAAATATCAGCAAAGTCTGAAGATGACATTTCCTATATGGAAGCGACCAAGAACTACATCTGGCTTGCCATTCCTTCCATTGCAGGAATGTTACTTAGGAGAAGTCTTGACATAGTTAATTATGCAGTCATTGGCCAAATGGGTGATGCAACATATGCATCGGGTCTTGGATTAGGCATGATGACTATAAATATGGTTGCTATATGCCTAGGAAATGGCTTATCAGGAGGCATAGAAACCTTATGCTCACAAGCATTTGGGAGAAATGATAACTACCAGGCTGGGCAGTACTATAAAAGAGCTCAGGTGATTTTGACAGCTTTGTTCATCCCACAAGCTATTTTATTGTACTTTGCTACACCCCTACTAATGGCAAGTGGTCAGCCTGAAAGATCCTCCCAAATTGCAGGAGAGTACATTTTAATATGCCTCCCAGGGATTTGGTGCTATTGCCAAACTGAATTACTGAGAAGATTCCTTGGTGCTCAGAAGGTCTTCAACGTAATGATGAACTCTCAGATTATCAATGTGTTCCTTCATTTCGTTTGGGTGTTTATCTTCGTGTACATTCTTGATTTCTCATACAAAGGGGTGTACTATGCCAGCTTGCTCACCTACATCCTTAATTTGGCTTTGCCAATTTTGTACATAAATTATAGCCCATCTTGAATTAGGGAAAACTGATGGCATTCGTTCAGTTCAGAATCATTCAAAAATCTTGGAGAGTACTTAAAGTACGGGATTCCTTCAATGATAATGCTCCTATTCGAATGCTGGGCCTTTGAACTCCTCATTTTCATGGTTGGAATAATCGGAGAAAAAGAACTCGGAGTTTTCGTCATCTGATTTAATATTGTGATGTACGTATTCATGATTCCAATGGGGTGTTCATTTGCTGCAAATGCATGAATTGGAAACAGTCTTGGAGCGTCCAAGCCTAAGACAGCCAGGATATACTCTAATGTCTGTGTAGCCTCAGCAGTTGTGCTGTCATGAATCCTCGGAGGATGTCAATTCTTGCTGAAAGATATAATGGCAGATATTTTTATTGAGGATGAAATGCACGACTTGTTCACATATACAATTACTATGATGGTAATTTTATCCTTCTGCCAATACTTACAGAATATCTGTCAAGGAATGATCAAGGCAATGGGCTATCAGAAATATGGAACAATTATATGCTTGATTGGATATTGGGGCGTCTGAATCCCTTTGACTTACCTCTTCACGTTTGTATGGAAACTTGAAATGACAGGTGTTCTCTTAGGAGCACCAATAGGGCTCTTCGCTATTGCCTCTGGATACATCTTTTGCATTTACGCTACTGATTTCAACAAATTATCAAATGAAATTGTTCAGAGACTTCAGAAAGGTACTGAAGGAAAAACCTAGATTCATGTCGGAAAGGTGTCGAAAGTAAAATTTACTGCTGTCGAAAGTAGAAAGGTTAAATAATTATAAATTCATTGAATAACCAATCTATTAAGAAATCTCAGGGGTTTTGGGGTTTTGGGGTTTTGGGGTTTTGGGGTTTTGGGGTTTTGGGG